AGGGAAAGAAGGTAAAAGAAGTCATTTGAGTTGGCACATAGACAGACAAACTGACCAGTAACTTCTCTCCAAGGATACCTGAACAATCCAGTATACACAAAACAAAATCAGGTAACACTTGAGACTGGTACAAAGCCCTTTGAAGCAATTTGATAGACTCCCACAGACTTCAGTGTCATTTGGATCGGGCCTCAAATCCTGTGTATGCTAATGAAGTCCTGCCTGTATAGGGATTGCAGGACTAAAATATATTAAGAGTTTGTATTGTATTGATTCACAATAATACATGATGTAAAAAAACCTCTCCATTTCACAGTCAAAAAAAGCACTGGACAACTTTTCAGTTCTCATGAGCAAATAAAAGTGAATCAAGCTAAACAGGATTGGCCTTTATGCTGGAAAAGTATTGCTTCTTTACAGCATCTAATCCAGATTTTTTACTCTAGATTTTATGGACCCTCACTTTCAAAGTTACAATCTGCTTGCATCTTTCAGTTCAGCAATACACTTCCTGTGCTTCTCATTTCTGGCACCTGGCATTCATTTTGAATGCTCACTATCAATCTACAATTAGACATTTGTATTATATATTTTATTTACTTAAGATAGTTCAGCTCAACTCCAACATCTGGTTTCACTAAGATGCTGATTTTCTGAACTGTGAATTCATGAAGGCAGAAGGCTATACATTTTTCTAGTTCTGTTAGATGTAAAACAGATCAAACAAAAATATATGCAAGAAAGCAAGGCTTTGGTAGTGAAAGCAATTACCACACAGTTGACAACAACATGGCTTTCCAATTATGTTGAAATACATTACTTCTTCTGATAAAATTAAACCACATCAGTTATGCAAATGTCTTTTCATCTGGTCAAATTAGTATCTTAAATGTTTTAAATAATAATTTAATTATAACTAAAACAAATCAGCCAGCTTTTCACAGAAATTCTGACTTCACTTCAATGCTCTACTTGAGGATGATGTGAAAATGATGCATACATTTTTTGTGCCTGAGGCAATGCTTCAATAGAAAATCATACATTAACTGAATAAACAAAAAGTTAAATTAAGTTGCTCAAGTCTCCCATTTTAAATGTGACCTGCAAAAAGTCATTTCAAAATGAATTAACTCTACAGTTATATGCTGAAGGTCTGAAACAAAAATGAACTGGAATTTAAATTACTGTAAACATATTTTATAAGACCCTAATCCTGGAGATTTATATGCAGGTGCTAAACTTAATAAACAATAACAATCTACTGCATTCAACAGCATAACTCATGAATGAATAAATCTGACAGGGAAGTGTGTATAGGACATCCATGGGCCTAAAAATTATTTTAACTCCTGCAATGTTCTACTGATTTGTTCCCTATTGTTTCAATACCCAGAACACAGGATTCACTGGACCCGGAGCGTAAGTAGGTAAAAGTGTTTAAATATATCAAATGGTTTTGAAATGATTTTTAAATTATTCTGATTTTTTATAAGATATGTTCCAAACTGTGCAATATAAAAAAGTACCTTTTCTGTGTGCCAGAATGCAAGCTGCAATGCTTCTAGCAACACTATGTTCCACAATAATGTATTCTGGGATATAGCTATCAGAGAAATGTCCCCCACCAAAATAAATTCATACTATTTTCATTTTCAGCAAAATATTCTTGGAATCTTTTAGGGGCTGTCAAAAAGCTCACAACAAAATAAGACTGGATTTTAGAGTTTTTAAATCAACAAAAAATATGGGTTTTAGTTGCCAAAAAACTAAAAATGTGGGGAGAAGCCTCTGTGAAAAATCAAACATTTTTCAATAAAATTGTTTTTTAATTAAAATTTCCTTGTATTCAAAACAAAGATTTCAATGGAAAAATATTTTAATTTATAACTAATTCAATGGCACCAGGAGCTGGGCAGTATTTCTACCTAAGTGTTTTACACCAGGGGTTTTCAACCTTTTTTAACAAGTGTACCCCTGGCAGCCCCCTTTTTAATAATGTGTACCCTTGCAGGGGAGAGGGGTGGCAGTGAGCGGCCAGACATGGTGGTGGGGAGGAGGGGGTGGCAAGCGGCCAGATGTGGAGTAGTGGGGG